CACACACACACACACACACACACACACACACACACACACACACACACACACACACACACACACACGCTGTCTGTTTCTCTGCTCTTCAGTGTGGTCTCAATATTAATAATAGGTCAGGAGTCTGTTCACACCCCCCCCCTCCCGACACGGTGGATGAGATGGGCTGCAGTGAGTACCAGAGAAAGATAATGTGACACAATCCTAGAGGCTCATGGGTATGGTGACATTTCTGTCCCAGCCACTCTTTTCTTTTTTTTTTCTTTTTTCTTCATCTGCTCTTTTTCTCTCTGTTCTCTTTGCTGTATTCTGCCCCTCCCTGCTTCTCTTGGTCCTGTGCTTTGGGGAGGCTTGTTGCCTTGGGTAGCATGTGGTGTTGTGATAAGTGAGCCAGCATTGTGACCTGCTGATGTCGCACAGCTTCTGTAGTCACCTTTCAGTTTCAGGGATAGAGCAAGAAGGCATTTAATCTCTGTTAATTTTTTTTCCCCTTTATGACAGCGATCGCTGCCTTGTTTAAAAACGTATACCGTAATTTGAAGGAGTTTTGTAGCCTTTGTTGTAATGGGAAATCAGCTGACTGGTATAGCAGTACCCAGTCCCAGGTACTTTAAAGCCTCCTAGTGACTTTGCACCCTTGGTTTGGGCATCGTCTTCTGACATGGGCAGGTTGTCATGCCCTTTAGGTCTGTAGTTTACAGTGACTGGCAGGGATAAGCATTTCAGTCATTTTCTTTGCATTGTTTACCAAATGAGTTACTTATGGTTACTTGTTATAGATTTTGGGTGCTATAGTAATTATAATAATGTTGAGATTCAACAGTTCTGTTAGTGAGAGTGTTTGACGGTGTATTTGTGTACCTGTGTCTGCTCATGTCTCAGGCTGCTCTGTAGCTGCACTCCCTCTGGCCATGTGCCTCTGTGCTCCCCTGATGCTCATTAGTGATAAGCCCTGGCTACACACACTCTCCTGACAGATGTGGCCTCTGCCCTGCCTTCCAGTTTGTCCTTACTCGGCTACCGTAGTTTCATATAGTAGTGAACTGCTCAAATTGTGAGACCACATTCATGTCTATGCTGGCCTTCACTCCAGTTCCCTTAGCCCCCATAGTCAGTCCTCATATGTGCATTTTATACCTGGATTGATGGTCCTACTTATTTACTAGTGTCTTTGTGTATTACTCTGTTTATATTTGGTGGGCAGAACCGGACACGCACAGGAAACCAGCTTGCCCGTCTTGTTCTATGTCTGATTAGTCTGTGAAACGTTACTGTTTGTGTGAATGAGTCTGGTACAGCAGAGGTGGCGTGTGAAGGTGCACAGAGAGCTCCTTTAGGAGGAGTTCACAGCCCCGGAGAGCAAGCGTGTTTGTGTGCTGCTGCCATCTGGCAGCTTGTGGGAGCTGTGTGTGTGTGTGTGTGTGTCTGCGTGGGCTTGTGTGCTTAGCAAGCGGGCTGCATGTTCCCACATTTAACTCTCTTCCACTCAGGGACGTAACCCCTTCTTCCTGGAACCCTCGGTCATCATTGCCATCACGGATGGAGGCCGACTAACCAGCAGCTGCGGGGTGCAGGATGAGGTAATGAACAGCATACCATCGCCATGGAGACAGTCGCAGGAAATCTTGTGACATTAGCAGTGGGTTGGTGCTGAGCAGTAACTGTTGTGGGTTCAAGTCCTTGAAAAGTCCTCTGCCCCAAATCACTTATGCAAGATTCTTCAAGGTAGTGTGCAGCATATCTGGGTAGATGGTCAGATAGGTAAAATTGTCAGGCTTGTGGAATGTGCATCAGCTTTACCGCAAAATGATAAAGATGTTCTTTTCCTTCCAAGCCGATTCTCCCTGCCGTTCCTAATGTGATTGCATGCCATCTGTGGTCCTCCTGCCCCTTCACCAGCTGCACCTGCCCCTCACCACGCCCCTTCCGGGCAGCGAGCTGACCAAGGAGCCGTTCCGCTGGGACCAGCGTCTCTTTGCCCTGGTGCTGCGCATCGCAGGCCATACCTCAGCAGAGGTGGAGCCTTTGGGGGGGGTGCCCTGTGATGACTCTGCCATCACCCCCATGTGTGATGTCACTGGAGGTAAGGAGTGGTGGTGGTGGTGGTGGTGGCGGCTGGTGGGGGGGGGGGGGGGGTATGGGGATATTGGCTCTGTGCTTCCTGGGGACGAATGATGAATGAGAAATAAAATCCTTTTTAGATGCTGCTTGTTGCCTGGGTTATGGGGGAGGAGTGTATTTAAAAGAATCTGTTATGAAAAGTTCACAGCCTTTGTGTCTGACTCAATCACTTCACTTAAGAGTAAAAGTAAAAGTGGTATGGTTGGTATTTTGAAAAGCTGCTAAAGTGGACTCTGATGTGGCCAAACTGCTGGGTTGGGATGGATACGCAGGGATTTGGGCGCAGGCTTCCTGCCTCTGGTTTTGTAGACCGTGTGGGTGTTGGCTTGTCTTGGCCAGCTATGGCACCTGCAGGCTGATCTACACGCTCGCCTTGGCAGGGCGCTCCTACAGCGTGTTCTCCCAGCGCATGCTGAGCCAGTGTTTGGAGTCGCTGGTGCAGAAGGTCCAGAGTGGAGTGGTCATCAATTTTGAGAAGACGGGGCCAGACCCCTTGCCTGTGGAAGGTAGTAATGGGACGTCTGCATTGTGTGTGCCCCTCCTGTGGGTTTTCCTTACTTAGTTGGCCCCGCCCCCTTGTTTGTTGTCTCTATTGCCCCCCAACTTCCTTCCCCATATGTTTCTGTCCCTCTTCCATCCTGCAGATGGCCCTGGTGAAGTGCCCAAACCTGGCACGCAGCCTTGGCACTGCAGCCACAGGCTGATCTATGTACGCCCTAACCTGAAGACGGGTGTCCCCCTTGGCCACTGGCCTATCCCCGAGGCCTTCTGGCCGGACCAGAACTCACCCACGTTGGTAAGGTTACGACTGAGGGGATGTTAGTGGGAACTCTTGTCTCATAATGAGCTCTGAGGCTCTGTGTGTGACCGTATGAGAGAGACAAACTTTCTAAATGACTGTTTCCCGCCCCCTCCAGCCCCCGCGCTCCGCCCACCCACATGTGCGATTCTCCTGCATTGATACAGAACCCATGGTAGTGGACAAACTGCCTTTCGACAAATATGAGCTGGAACCCTCGCCCCTCACTCGGTACATCTTGGAGAGGAAGTCACCCCACACCTGCTGGCAGGTACTCCTCTCCCGGGCTCCTGGTGCCCCCGCTAGGGCTGGGCGATATCATATCGATATTGCATCGTGCATGTGCAATACTCACTAGGGCTTCAGATGACCGGTGCAACATTTGGCCATGCGCCAGCTTTTTGGTGCTATACGGACATTTATTTACGCCCACAATTTAAGCAGTTTAGTAGTACGGCTAAAATATTAATGAGGCTTTGTATGACGTCCAAAAGTCGTTTTTAGTATAAATATGGCATATCCTTACGTTTAATAAATGTGTCAGACTTTGAACTGCAAAAAGAACCACAACACCTCTGACGTCTTTTTACGTTGTTTATCCACAAGATCTCCTCTTTTAAAAGATGTTGTGGCTGCTCTTCTTCACCGCGACTTCAGTCCTTATTGCACTGAGGTATACCAAACTGTAGTATACCAAACTGTAGTATAGCAAAACGGTATTATGTGGGGTGCTCCGCTAATCGAATTTATGAAACATAAAGTTTATACAGATTACTAACTTTTAGATATCACAAAACGCATCTCATTAATAATTAAGCCATACTACTAATCCTCTTACCAAGTTATGGGCGTAAATTAATGTCCGTATAGCACCGAAAAGCTGGCGTCCGGCCAAATTCTTCATCTGTCATCTGAAGCCCTGGTGATTACTGTGCATGTGCGATATAATATCGATATATCGCCCAGCCCTAGCCCCCGCCTCCTCCCCAGGGGTTCAGCCTCTGCCAGTCAGATCTGCTCATGTTGCTGGGTTACGTTTGTAACCCAGCATGCAGTTTTGATTAGGAAGTGCTTAACTTTAAGATAGTAGATACCAATGAGCACCACTATTGTATCAGTGTCCTGCCTTAGAATACGTTTGAATTGACAGTTCTAAGCAAACCATAGTTTACCTCCCAAAGGGACTGGATTATAGATGAAAGCAATGCAGATAGATGGTGAACCGCAGGCCTGGCGACCCACGCGGCCTCATTTCTGACCTCAGCTGTCAGCTGCTGAATTAGTTGTTACTGGATCAGGTGTGTAATTGGTATTAAATCTGAAAAACTAAGCTGCAGGTGACAGACCTCCCAGGAGGCCACCCAGTCTACCGGCCATGTTTGCGCCAGACACCTCGTGCTGTTGCCATGACACTGATGGGGTTGGATCAATGTCAACACATTACCATGCTGTCTAAGTTCCTGTCCACTGCAAAAAATCAGCTGCTATTTTGTCAAGTGAGGGGCTTGTATATTATACTCCAGTAATCAGACTCCTCCTCTTTATTAGAACCAATATGGGCAGAAACCAAGAGGTTTAACAATTTTTCAGAAGTATTTTTTTGTTTTAAACTTCATTCTGTTATTAGTAATCAGCAGAGGCTAGCTTTAAATGAATGCTTAATGGCCCAAGGAAAAAAACCCATGAGCTATACAAAAGGAATACAGATTAACTCTACAATACTTACAAATGCTGATTTTTATTATCCATAAGTCATTTGCACCTGTGTTAGGCTTTGAGTTAATTTTCTCTGTTTGGACCCACAGACTGTGAGTCCAGGCTGTTGACCCTTATTAAGCAGCCAGATCAGATGGTGATGCCTTTGGCTTTTTGACGCTCCTGTGGCTTGTTCCTTCCGTAGGTGTTTGTGTGCAACAGTGCCAAGTACAGCGACCTGGGCCAGCCCTTCGGCTACCTGAAAGCCAGCACGGCCCTTAGCTGCGTCAACCTCTTCGTCATGCCCTACGATTACCCAGTGCTCCTGCCTCTGCTGGGTGAGTGAGATGGGAAGGCATACCCCCCCCCCCTCCCCAGCCCGGCACCCATGCACAGATCCCCTCTTACTGATTTTCCCTCGGCCGTTGCAGACGACCTGTTCAAGGTGCACAAACTGAAGGCGACTCTGAAGTGGCGGCAGGCATTCGAGAGCTATCTGAAGACCATGCCCCCCTACTACATCGGCGTGAGTAGCCAGACCTTAGGTGTTCAACAGGGTTCAGTCCTTGGGCCCGTCCTCCTGTTTATTACACTGATTCACGTCAAGTGACACAGTTATGGCACATTTGTAATATGTTCTCCCAAACTCTACTGTGAAATGTGAAAAATGTCTATTACATTTTACTTGTAATTAAGCTATGAATCTTGCAGTCGTGGTAATAGGTCCAGTTCGAGGTTAAGTCAAAAATGTGAGTGGTGTGTAGTATGCTTGTCCCTTAACCCTAACCCTTCCCTTTCACTTGCAGCCCTTACGCAAGGCACTGAGGATGATGGGAGCACCCAACCTACTAGCAGACAACATGGAGTATGGTCTGAGCTACAGCGTAGTCTCCTACCTGAAAAAGCTGAGTCAGCAGGTATGGTCCATCCGCCCGTGCCTTTGGCAAAGCACACTTCACATCTGTGATGTAAACATGGGTGACGATAGTCACTGTGCCTCCATCTATCCAGCTGTCTTCAAACTACTGACTGTTGCGTAAGCAGCATGCCAAGCAGGTCAGACAAGACCTCCTTCCAAGGCCACTGACTGTAGCTCCTTCTGGGGTTTTCTCAGGCATTCCCAAGACAGATGGGAGATATAATCCCTTCAGCGTCTCCTGAATCTGCCTCATCACCTAGTGGGACATACACAGAACAGCTCCATTATGAGCCATTTAATTTTAGCCTTAAAAAGACTCTTTCAGTTTACATCTTGACGTAGTTGTGAAGCTTGCTTTCAGATTTGTACATTTGACAGGTATACTCAAATATCACATGTGCCAGAGTGTTTTGCCTTTTGCTAACGTTGTCTGTTCAAATATGTATCTTTGGTCGCATCAGGGTGGACCATAGACTGTGTATGTGTGCCTGTCCCTATCAATATAGTTATATGCAGAATCATTTTTTCTGATCTGTACTTGTTCTGACCCGGTTTCCCTTGTGGTGTAATTTCCTCTCTGCTCAGACCAAACTGGAAGCAGAGCGTGTTGTTGCCTCTATAGGGAAGAAGGCTGTTCTTGAAAGTGGGACCAAGGTTCGGTGCCGGGCTAACAGCCTATCACTGGCTCACCATGGGAACTTTGTGCGGCTGCTGCAAGTCATTGTGGGTGAGAGCAGTGTCTGCCCTGAGGAGCTCAACCCCAAGGAATTTGCCGGATTTCAACTTGCAACACTCAATAAGGTGAGCTTACCATAATTATGCCACTTGATACTGCTTCTGTACATCTAAAGCCCCACTCACTTTCACTTACTAGGTCAAACGTGGTTATATCTGGCTGTCCTGATCCCACCTAGGTCCCTTCACTTCAGTTGATTAGCCCTTTATTTGAGGTACCTACCAAGTGTAAAAATAGGGTGTTTACTCTTCTGTTTTATGAGTCTATGCACTAAGCTAGGACCAGCTTAGGGTTTTTCTAACAGCCCTGCTTTGTCAGGATGAGTCCATAGAAGCTTTACCACCATAGGAACCGTTTTTCAGGAACTAGGAACTTCTGTTGCCTTGGCACTACAGGAACTCTGCTCAATTGTAATTCCTCAGAGGTGGTTCCTGAACCTTTTTTTTTTAGTCCATACTCTAGAGTAGGTACTTTTCACTTGACCACGGTCCAGTCCCACCCTACGGAAATAACCATCCATCTGCTGCAGCCAGGTGTTACATGGGTGTCCCCTCAGTCTGGTCAAGCCCCTTGAGATCCTGCGAGCCAGAAGTGTGTGTGGGGGGGGTGGGGGGAGATAAAAGTATTGGAGCAGTAATTGAGCATGTGGAATTTTTTTGTAACTCACTTGCATGAAATGCATTAATGAAAACCTTTTGTTTGTCTCCATATTTCTGTATCGGAAAATTTGATCAATTCGAGACAAATCAGTTTTTTTCAGACCACGTGAGCTTTTTGTGTCTCTCATGCTTATTTAGCATAAAGGTCCCAGTTCCTGTTGTGCGATAGGAAAATGAAAGTGGCCAGGAGCTACAAAAGTTTGTCAAGATGGTCCAGCAGCTCAGAACCAGGAATTAGGTTCCTGGACTTTGATGGGAAAGCGCCTCATGATTCTGATCTTATTCATTCCCCATGCTACTCAACCTGGCCCACCATTCCAGAATATGAAGCCCCAGAGTTTTCGCAATGCTTATGACATCCCACGGAGACAACTACTGGACCAGCTCAGCCGTATGAGAAGGAACCTACTAAAAGCCGCCACCAGAACTTTTCAGAGCCAGGACCCAGGTAAGTGTAGTCGGACCCAGCTGAGCCTTTGGGGCAGGGCACCTAACCCAGCTTCCATACGTGTGATAGTACTATACTTGATATATGTAAATTGCATAATCAAATTGCTACTGCACTAACAGTTATGACTGGTGGTTACTGATTCAGCATAGTGCTACAGACATGCTGCTCTCAGCTTATGTAATTTTATACCTAAGGGGTGAAAACCACATTCTTCATAAATTCATGGAGTCCAATGAGGACCTCTCCCTGTAAATAATATGAAACTGTCAGCAGAGAAGCCAGTGCCGTGACTCTCTGGGGGTCAGCGGTTAGCAGTAGAGAATGCATATTATGATTGTTGTTTTAGTGGGATCTTGTAGAGTCCATGTACACTGAGTGCTGGTCATGCATCCTTTCAGATCAGCTGCACAGCATTGCCATTGCTGAGATGGGCAACTACCAGGACTTCCTGAAACACGTGGTCCCACCTCTGAGGGAGGCAGATGCTGACCAGCCCAAGCGCCTGCACACCTTTGGGAACCCCTTTAAACTGGACAAGAAGGTAAAGGTGTGCACTTCCAAGCCTTACAAAGTGCTGAGGCGTGTTTGTCATTTGCAGGGCAAACAAAAAGCGACATTCCCTTTGGACCATCCTCAGTAACGATTAGCATGCTTGTTCTAGTAAAGGGAGGTATCCTAGTGTCTATCCCAGCACCATCCCAGCCTTAATGTTTACTCACATGGTGGGTGTATTTTGATGGTTGTTCTGATTGGTTTCTTATGCATGTGTCACAGCACCTGGTCCATGTTTATGAGAATCTAGGACCCATTGCCTTTTCACTTGCTCTTCCTGACAGGGAATGATGATCGACGAGGCAGATGAGTTTGTTTCCAGCCCCCAGAATAAGCCCAAGCGGCCAGGCGACTCTGGCATGCTGGGAGGTGCTACTGCCCCTAAGAGGCGGAGGTGCATGTCCCCGCTGCTCCGGCCAGGGCGTGGCTACACCCCACCTGTTCTCAGCAACCATGCTGGTGGGCGGAGCTCCCCAACACCTCCCAGTGCCCCACCTATGCCAGCAAGCCCCCAAGCTCCAGTTCCATGTGCCAAACTGCTTCCCTCCCCCAGAGGTGAGTCTATGCCTCTCCCCCAGTCCTCCTTGGGACACCATCTGCTAACTGAGTCACAAAGTATTTGATCAGAAAAGAGAATGCAGTCCTATGTGAGGACTTGGTATAAACTTGATATTAGTGTAGCTGAGGCCCTGTTCAATTTTACCCTGCCCTATTCTATATTCAGTGTACGGACATGGTGACCTATGAGACTGGATTTCTTTGAATTTGTGAAGTTGCCAGTTTTGTAAGCAGCCTGAAGTTCTTTTTAATAATGGAAGTAATGGGAATTGCTGTGTTCTTAATGGTCCTTTACAAATGGACACCATATGGGGTTCTGCTGTTGTGACGAAAGGTGCAGGTAAATATACAATTTAATGGAATAAGCTTCGCTCCCTTGCAGTGTCTGACACCAACCATGGCATTGATGACGGGGTCTTTGGGAACCACATGGGCAACCACTACAGCCCTGAGGGGCCACCGGCCCCCGAAGATGATGCGCTGCTGCAGGTATCACCATACCTGGCAAGTGTGGCAGATGAGCGACAGAACGGAGACGAGCCGCCAGGGGACAGCCGGGTCGCCGATTCCCTGGGCCGACCCACCCCCAGCCAGCTAAAGAAGCTGCATGAGGCCGAGGCCCAGGGGCGCAACGCCGAGCTCAAGCTCCTCATCACCCGAGAAATCCGCAAGCCGGGTCGACGTACGTGCTGACCGACGGGATGAATGTGGACCAGATATCGACTTGAAATGTGAATCTCTGTAGCTTTTTGTAGTGGATGAATTTGTACTGGGAGAGACGACACCCATGTCTGCTGTTTTTATTTGCTTCTTTAGGCTATGAGAAGATCTTCTACTTCCTGAAACAGCTCCACGGCAGCCTCAGTGTGCGACTGATATTCCTGCAGAACATAATCAAAGAGGCCGGCAGGTGCACCATTAAGCTTTCTTGAGTTTCATCATTAGGGTGACTGTGCCTGTAATTATCATGTTACATAAGTGTATCTACAGAAGCACATATAATTGGCCATTTATGATGGAGATGTTATGTTATAGAAGTTGCAGCCCGTACCATCCAGCCCTTAAAACTCTTCCCCCTCCTTAGGTTTAAGAAGCGGGTCCTGGTTGAGCAGCTACAGAGCTTCCTGGAGGAGATCCACATGGAGGCAGATCACAAGAACCACATACATGGATGTTAAGTGTGCCATGTGTTCTGATCGCAGTCCTCCCTCGCTCTTCCAGCCCTGCCGTCTTCCTGGGACCTCATGAATGCATGTCTCGTGGGAGCTACTGTTACATGCTGGGCTTCTGGAGAGGCACAGAAGTACATTACAGACTGGGTGTAATCAACGTGTGATACTCAAGACAGGAAGTGGCAGAGAACTTCCACATGGGGCTGTAAACGCTTGTGTGTTTTTTTTATTTTTTATTTTTTTCCTTTTCTGAGAGGTTTGTTCTGTCTTGTTACTGCCTCTGTTACAGTGCTGCTGCTGGTGGTTCTGGTGGTACATCAGTATACTGTGGCTGTTACCACGATGCTTGGGCTCCTAGAGTGCAGAGTGGTTCTACTGCGACTTGTCGCATAGGAGTCCCTACTCTGGGCATGTAGCCTCTCCATGCTGTAGGAACAACATTTTCCCCTCCATTGGGATAATGGTGAAGCATAGCGAACCTGCAGCCACCGGGTGAATCCCTACATATCTGCCAGTAGGACTGGATTGTCTTGTGGTCTCCACATGCCTGATTTGTGGATTTCATTTATATCCACTGATGAAATTGCACTCTTACCATATCCACCAATGGGGTGATAGGTGCTGCACTAGGAGGTTACTCACAGGAAGGCGGAGATTGCTGTGTCAGAATTGCCTGTGAAGTTGCTTTCTCTGTTGTGATGATGCTGTCTGAGACTGACATCACACCATCAGACCCTCTTAAAAAAGTTAACTTTGTTTGTTGGTCACACTTTATTGTGCCCCCCGCAAACACTCACACAAACACATCTGACCAAAATACAACACTCTCGTAAAAGAATATTGATGAAAGGATATTGACTCCCTCGATGTTCAACTTTTTAAAGAAATTTTAGGTTCTTGACGTTTTAATTTACAGCAAGTGCTTTGAGGCACGTCTGTCTTGGGAAGCAGTATTGTTTTCGGAAATCTCTTTGGTGGGGGAGACCAGTTGACCTTCTGCAGGTGGTCGCCAAGTGCTGAAACTCTCCCTTCCCATTTACCTTAGCTACACCATCCAACACAGGGACCAAATCTTTGCCATACTTGTCAATTTTTGTAAAATTTCAGATGCTATCAAATAAAGTATTTTCAATATATTGTATCTGTGTAAATAGTTTTCAGAGATATTTAAAGTGCTATATAATGAGTTGCGCTTTTCTAAGTATTTACACAAATAAAACTCCTTTCTATTTTACACCCTGACTGGTGGTTGTAAATGAACTATTTCAAGCAAATTCATTTTTTTCCAACTTATGAGTGTGAATTTAAAAAAAAAAAACAAAAAAAAAACAGATGCATGAGCGGTGGAATGAAAAGATAATGGATCAATCCTGAAACTGGCTTTAGGAACATGGAACATAGGCCCTCTGGAGGGAAAGGAGCCTGAGCTAATGTGGGAGGTAGAGATATACCATCTAGATAAAGTCAAGCTCACCTCAATGTGTGGCTCAGTCTCTGGAACCAAACCCCCAGAGTGTGACAGGACTCCATTCAACTCTGAAGTTGCCCTGGTGAATAGGCGCCAGCCAGGTGTGGGTCTACTTAAGCCCCCTACCCCCCAGTTTGATACCAGTATGTTGCAGCACACTCAAAATGCTTAAATACGGACTTCACTAGCTCCCCAATCCTGTCGCTTCCCTTAGATCAGGGGTGGGCAATCTTATCTGCAAAGAACTGGTGTTTATGCAGATTTTCGCTGCAACTCCCTAATTCGGTCACTAATTAGAGGCCTGACTTACTGAAGAGTCCTCACACCTGGGTTTGAACAGCTGCCCTAAAGGTTACCCCAAAAACCTCTATGCACACCCCTGCCCTAGATCCTAGTTTGTTTCGCTTCCCGTTCTCTCTGCCCTGGGCTGAGCCCACCTGCATGTCCTGCTACTTTTAATGCATTATACCAGGTTAGTACTGTCTCACTCATACAGACTAACAAGCATAAAAAAAAAACTACCATAGAATCAGGTGTTTTCTGCTTGGGTTGGGCCGTGCCCTGCAGGTCACTATGCCTCTCCTCAGGCCCGCTTCTGGTATGCGGTGGGTCCAGCCTGACAGTGCCTGTGGGGAACGTGGGGTGACTCATTGGCACTTGGCTGAGTACAGGGATGTCGCGCATAACGGCTGACTAACCACCTTTCTCCCCTTTTTCTTCCTTCAGTTAATTTTGTCAGTTTATTTTTCCTCTCTATCTCTTGTCTAATTTCTATATCTCCTTGCATCCATTTTTTCCATTAAACATAAACACCTCGTACTTTTCCCAGCACACAGAAACATACAAAGATAGGTCCACCCTCAATGGAAAAGTACAGTATGCGCCCTCACAATCTACATGTACTGTATATACTGTGTAATAACACCTAATGGTTTTGTCACTGTAACTTTTGACTTGAATCTTTTCTTTTTCTTCTTTCTTTCTTATTTTCAAGTTATGATCCACTGGGGTAGCATGGTGGTTCAGTGTTTAGCACTGTCACCTTCGACCTCTGGGACCTGCATCCCAGTCTCCACCAGGGTTCCATGTGTGTGGAGTTAGCATGTTCTTCCTGTGCTGTCGTGGAGTTTCCTCCCACAGTCCAAAAATATGCTGAGGCTGATTTTAGTTACCAAACTGCCCCTAGGTGTGCGAGTGAATGGGGTGTGAGTGTGCCCTGTAATGGGTTGGTGCCCCATCCTGGGTTATTCCCTGCCTTGTGCCCATAGTCTCCGGAATAGGCTCCGGCCCCATGAATTTGAATAAGATAAGCAGTTTCAGAAAATGGATGAATAATCTACTGTCACCTTGATGCATGTTTCACCATTAATAATAAAAATATCAGTTGAGTATCCAGCCTTCTATTGAGATTTTGGGTGGGGTCCTGGAAGGGCCCCCCTTTTGGTACTTTATTGGTCTACTGGGGAATATTAACAGTCACGTTACATAATGACAGGGGTGAAAACACTGGACAGACCTGGTAGAGCCAAATATCTAGTGAGTCTATGCTGGGAGTGTCTGGCAGAGCCCCCTGTTCAGGAGATCTTTAGCTTGCATCTCTGGCAGAACGTCAGTCAAATTGTAGGAAAGCCTGGAGACACTGAGCCCGATTGGGTCATGAGCTGTGCCTTCATTGCTGAGCCAGCTGTGCAGAGCTATGGCTGTTAGGTTGTTAGTGTCTGTTGCAGTTGAAACCCCCCAAACACAGTGGTGGACAGCAACAGCAAAGGAAGATGTTAGGATGAAGAAGGAAGCCTTCCTAAGCTTGCTTAGCTTGTGAGACTCTAGATGCAGCTGACAGGGTACTGGCAGGTTAAGCAGAGTCTGGCATTGGCGGTTGCAGAAGGAAAAACTCGAGTGTGGGAGGATTTCGGTGAGGCCATGGAAAAGGACTTTGAGTTGGCCTCAAAGAGATTCTGGCATACTGTCAGACAACCCAGGTGGTGGAAGCAGGGCTTTGCTGTTTACAGCAGGGTTGGAATGCTGTTGACCTGGGATATAGTCAGACAGTTGAAGAAGAATTTTGAGGACCTACTGAATACTTCTGATATGCCGTCCTTGGTGCAAGTAGATGAGGATGACTTGGAGGAAGACTCACCCATCACTAGGGATGAGGTTACTGAGGTAGTTAAAAATCTCCTCAGAAGTAAGGCTCCAGGGATGGATGAGATTCGTGAGTTCCCGAAGGCTCTGGATATTGTTGGGCTGTCATAGATGACATGCCTCTTTGATATTCTAAGGAGGTGAGGGACAGGGCCACTGGACTTTCAGATGAGGTCCCAATCTTTAAGAAAGGCGAGTAGAGGGTGTGTTCCAACTTTAGATTGATCACACTCCTCATCTTATGCCTGGGCATTGTAGATGAGGATCAATCCATGAGTTCAACCTCAGGTTTAAGAGGAACAATGCAATTTTCATCCTGGTCATGGAACATTGGACCAGCTCTTTACCCTCTCAAGGATATCGGAGGGTTCATGGGAGTTTGCCCAACCAGTGTACATGTTTTTTGTGCATTAAAAAAAAGGCATATAACCATGCTCCTCTTGGGGTCATGTGGGGGATGTTCCTGGAGTGCCAGGCCTGCTCTTACGGGCAGGGGTGTAGGATCCATGGGGGTTGGGGGTAATTGGTTCCCCCCAGTATTAAATTTGACCTCACTTGACCCGCTCCCCCAAAAAATAGACTTTTACATTTCAATTTTTAAGTTGTGTCCCCACCAATATCAAACACTCTCCTTCACTTTATCTCTGTGTAACTGGAGCAAGAGCTTGGTTCACAATTCCTGCATTAAGTCAGGGTCATTCCTGGTGGGTATTGGACTCTGCCCTTTGTCACCAGTCCTGTTCAGGAGTTGCAAATTTCTAGGTGTAGCCAAGAGGTGGAGGGTGTCCAGTTTGGTGACCTAAGGAGTGTGTCTTTGTACTCCTAAGGTCCTGTCGGCTGAATTGAGCTGTCACTTCCAGTATGTACTGGGGCAGTTTGCAGCCTGCTGTAAAGCGTCTGTGATGAGGATCAACACCTATAAGGCTGAAGCCATGGTTGGATTGCCTCCACTTGTTTGGGGATGAGATACTGCATCAAGTGTAGGATCAAGTATGTTGGGGTCTTCTTTACAAGTGAGGGAAGAATGGAGTGGGAGATTGTTAGGTGGATCAAGGCAGTGTTGGCAGCTATGTGGGTGTTTTACCAGTCTGTTTTGGCCAAGAGAAAGCTCAGTTGGAAGCCAATCCTTTTGAGATACCAGTTAATCTACGTTCCTACACACATGTGGTCATGGGCTTTGGGTATGACCAAAAGAACAAGATTGTGGATACAAGCTTTCTTTGCAGGGTGTCTGAGCTCAGCCTTATGGTGCTTTTTCACTGTCATAAAGGAACCAAGCTGTACCCGACCCAGATGGTGGTGACACACCCAGTTTGGTTTTGGTCATGCTTTCCACCCTGCTAGTAAGCCAAGGCCATGTCAGCGTGTGTACGACTCGTGTAACTTACAATGGAAAACTATCTTCTCAGTTTGGCTCAGGTTCAGCTCGGTTCTTGGTGGCGGTGAAAAAGTGCCATTTGAGATTGGGTGAAAAGTTCGGACATCCAGGAGGGGCTCAAAGTAGAGCCCCTGCTCTTCCACACCGATACTAACCAGCTGGTGGTTCGGGCATCTGGCTAGGATGCCTTCCTGCGAAGGTGTTTTGGGCATCTCGAACTGGGGGGAGACCCAGGATATAGTGGAGAAATGACCTCTCTCAGCTGCGCTAGAAAACCTTGGTATCCCTCCAGAGGTGCTGGAGGAGATGAGGGATGATTGCTGCCCCTGAGTCCCCAAACTGTATGAGCAGCAGAGAATGGGTGGATGGATGGATGTTTTGTTGTTAACGAGATCTTTTGAGTGTAATACAAAGTGAGTTTTATATACCCAAAGTTAATTGCCGCAATCAATATGAAATGGTGCTACGGTGGTGGCTGTCAGCCCAGTAAGTTGACTCTGGGTTTGTCTGTGCATGTTCACATAATTGTAAACTAATGATTCAAACTAAGAGTTACCTATTGATAGGTAGGAGGTAGGCATTGCCCATCCTGCTCAGCAAACTTTACCGTCAGCACCCCTGCCCAGCTGACAAGGGGCCGTAAAGCGACTGACACCGAATATCAGTATCAGGATAAATCAGTGGTATCACCAAATTCAAATCCTTAGTCAAAGGGCGGCTCTTATATAAATTTTTTGGAAGTTTTTAAGTGAAAGGACAGTTTCTACCTACTTTTCTGGTGACGGGGCAAGACGTACGCCTCTCTTAAGCTAAAAGTCGGATTCTCTTGGAGCAGGTTAGGCACACAGTGTAAAATACTGTAGTAATACCCCATTTTCCAAATGAGCTATGATTGTCAAGCTGTAGTGCCAAAAATTCAGAAGTAAGTCTCAAATAACCTAGCTAAGCCAGTAAACCCACTTTGTAGAATAGCCCTCAGCAGTGGAAGCTAAAAAATAAGAAAAATAAAAACAGCTACATTTCTCAAAATAAGATAAACACTGTGATCTGTTTCTTGGGTTGTGTGTGCTTAGTCATAATCCCTCAAATAAGAATAAAAAAAATGAAAAACAGGTATTAATTTTATTCACAAATATTTATACAGCTGTTATCACACTGACTCAGTGCTTCCCCTGTTATCACACTGACTCAGTGCTTCCCCTGTTATCACACTGACTCAGTGCTTCCCAAGCCGGTCTTCAGGAACCCACAGACAGTGCACGTTTTTGCTCCAGACTTTTCACATCAGGAGCTGGGAGGGAGCAAAAACGTGGACTGTTTGGGGGTCCCCGAGGACTGGGGTGGGAAACACTGCTGTAACTGATTCAGTGTCTGTCAGATTGAATATCTGTGGTTTTATGTTTTGTTTTGGGGTTTTTTTTGGGGGGGGAGGGGGCGAGTTTGATTATTGCTGTCATAGTTTCTGCTCTGCTGGATTCAGCATACGCCCGATGAACAGAATGGTACCTGCTGGTAGGAGAGAAAATACCAGTCACTGCACACACGGGTTATAAGGAAAGAAAAATAGGCTTCAAAACAGAAGGCTATAGATTTGTGTCCCAGAGTGCCTTTGTGTGCTGTATACAGTATGCATGTAATCTAATAGTACAGGTCACAATTCCCTGGTGTGGGTAAAACTGCAAGCTTTGGGATTTGCATTATTTATTATTAAAATCTGCTAAGAAAACCATTTTCATTTAGACAACTTTATTGTACCTGTGCTGACTTGTTTGAGGAGGAAAAGGAAGGGTCGGTCTGCCTTGAACACGGGCGCCCGGGAGCGTTTGAGCAGGACCACCGCTGCGCAGGAGGATATACTTTTCATGTTTGTGTCATTGTTGAGTCTAGTTTGGAACTTGTCTCCAAAATAACACTCTTAGTGCAATTACCAGCCAGTTTTACCACAAAAATGTGCTACAAAATGTATGACTAATGCAGTTTAAAAACAAGGTGATGCACATCTGTAAACATTAAGGTAGTACAATGTTTTCTATACATCTCTTATCCATTTTGAGCTATTAGTTAAGTTCTCCCCAAGCGAGCTCGATGGGCCGAATGGCCTCCTCAAAAAAAAAAAAAAAAAATGGAAAAAGCAGAGCTTAGGGCCCACAGACTGTACCGGTTCTCTTATTTAAAATGGATTCTGATGTCCATGTCTAAGCTGTGAGAGCCAATAAACAAACTTGTGGAAGTTTGAGAGAGTCACTTGTACGTACCTGTTAGAGTGGAAAATGTATTACTTTTATCATATTAAGTATGTGTGTTAGCATTATGTAATATATATGTATCAGCCCCTGCCGTCTAGTGACAGGGCAGAACAAAGTGGTCCCTAGACGCCGAAGGATGAGAGAACAGGAACTATAACTCTGGGTGGGGAATAGGCTTGTCAACATGGCCAAGGAGGCCTACCCTGGGTTGTGTAGCGGTTCCTGATAAACCTTTGTCTGTAAAGGCACTAACAGCATTAACAGTTTAAACTACGCCCCATGTAAGCCCCTCCCGCCAAGTATAAATAAAGAAGCCAAGGGACTGCCCGGTGTGACACTGAACTGAGGCGCAGATACTGTCTGTTGCATCTAAGTGAGTGGGCACCCTTGCGCAAGTAAAAGATAAGAAGTGTGCTGTCTCATAACTCCTGAGTCCGAGAAGTGCATGTGTGGAGTGGTAAGCGACAGCGCTTCCTCCACATAGGTAACGGTGAGAGGGGGTCAAAGCTACGGCGCTTTCCTCCTGCTCCCCAACAGTACCTGTGACTGCCTCTGCCTTGGTTCCATTCTCCATGACCTCCACCACGGCCTCCTGCAGAGCCTCTGACACATAGAGACCCTCCTCAGCTGGAAACAAGAGGGGTGCAGGTGTTACGTAATGCAAGGCAGTAGCCCTGAAGTCATTCAAATAATCATGTGGATAAACTGGCCAGATGCTGCTAGTGTTAAGCAGGTACTAATTTAAATAAAAAAAAATAATAAAATCCAGTTCTTTTAAAATTCTGATGTATTCTCTAAAAGCTCCAGAAAGACGGATCTCTGACATAAATGGTTATGATGGGACCAATGAGACTTTAAAACCCAGCACTGTTGGCATTTCCATACACCGTCAGGCACCACCTCTCTATTGGTTACTCAGGCAACTCACAGTAATTGACAGTGTACTGTAAAGCCCACCCACCAGATTCAAAGCCTGTTCCAGGCAGCAAAGAACAAAGGCTGTGCTCAAAATGTCCAATTGCTTACTCATTCACTCTATAGTGTTTGCTACATAGAATGCTCATTAGGGGATAAGGGCAGACAGCGATTGATTTTGGACACGAGGCGGATGTTATGCTGCTACATATTTATGCGCCAGATATTCATAATTGTCGCATAAACAAATGCCAGAACATGGAAAACAATGTTGCTATTTATTAATAAGTACATGTCCTTATTCATGCTTCTTTGCAACACGTCAGTTTATTTACAACATACTTGACTGTACTGCATCCACATGCGCAAGCATGCTGGGGACTGCAGCTGTAACTATGGTGCTTTATACTAATCTTCAATACACTGTATTAATTGTGAATTAACCTTACTCATGTAAAGCAGTCAAATCCATTAAAATAACTGTTTGTTTTTAAAGCAGTGGTAGCTCTGGCACTGTTGTTATAGTTCATATATTTCATAAGCAAGCTACTTAACAAGGATTTACGGTTACAGTTCAGACTGAGCAAAGTTGCTCATATATTGTTTCGACACTCATGTGATGTGTGTTATGTAGTCAATGAAATTTACAGTTGAAAATCTTAACAGCACTACAAAATGGCGTCCTCACGATATACTGAACTATATATTGGGGGATGGGAGATTTTGAACACAGTCAAAGACACTAAATGCTACATTTTCATTTAAAAATTGAGTTTTCAAAGAAAAAAATTATCGCTCTCAACACAGGCGTTTTGACATGGTTTATAAAGGTATTTCCATCCACGGTGAATGAGCGAAAATGTATATGACATAGCTATTAGCCTACATTAAGCATGCACGCATTGAGCCAGTGATCTTTAAATTAGTTTTTTTTTGTGCAAACATGCAGCCGTCACATCGTGAGACATGTTATTAGTGTGATACAGGTCAGCAACAGGGAATGCACCATTGAAAACAGCTTCAAGGTGGAAGGGGAAAACTATTAGGGGCTCAGACACTAGTGACTAGGGAAACTGGGTGATTGATCCACCAGTACACTCCCACTATGGTGGCAAATTTTATAGTCAGGATAAGGCGGACACCAAATATTGGTTTTGGGATCGGTATCTGTGAAATCAACCTGGGTACTGGATCGAATCAGATGGTATCATCCATCTCAACTGTTTAGTTATGTGTAGAGTGACCAGGTGAACTATCAGACAATGAGAGTGTGTAACTAGTGATATCAAATCAGGGATGGGCCATGTGATGAGCACCCCAATTAGGGTGGTTTTAGAGTCTGTGTTTTCACTTATCCATACTGCAACTGTAAAGCAGAGTTTTCGTAAGTACATGGCTCTGAGAGCATTGTTAAAAGTCTCAGTTTTTGAGGGCTGAAACTTCGGGGTGTAGATGAAAGGGGAAAACGGAGGCTAATATCTGGGTTTTGATACAAAAATGTAGCAGTGGAGATGTAACCGAAAGAGGTCTTTGATACTGAATATTGTAATGATGTTATATAGCAAGAAGTACAGTGTATAAGCTGTTCTACTAACGTTACAAAACAATTTGGCTCAAACTTTATGTCCTTGGAGAATAAATAATTCCGTCTTTTTTGAACTGCTCAAGTAACAGACTAGTTCAATGACTATCTCAGTGTTGCTCTGAATAGATCCCTTTACAAGTGATTTTTGCTTTTTTTAGATCAGGATAAAGTTACCTGAGATCCCTGTGAAGTCTGCAACTGCGGGATCGAAGATGTCAGAGACACCAAGTGAGGGCAGCACCGATCTCAAGCTGGACTTGCTGTGGATCCTGAACCTGCCAATGGCGACAGACTATTTCACTCTTTGCCTGGTGTGGTATTACAGCACCTTAATGTCAGAGAACAGGAACTGGAAACTCTCTGTTGTCCTCCCTATCCTCTCCACAGGAGTGGTGCTCACCTAGGGAGGAAGATGTCCATCTTGATCCTGTGCAGGCTGGAGTGCCACATGGTCACAGCATGTCCACTGAGCTGTGTCTCCAGTTGGGACAGGGGCATCTTTCTGTCACTGGGCTGGACCACCAGAAGACCAAAGTAACCTCCCAGGTAGGGGAGCTCAAGGACACTGTACCTCAGGTCCATGGGAGTATGGAAATGGCCTGGACACACACACACACACACACACACACACACACACACACACAGAGAGAGAGTTTTCAATTATATATTTATGGGGACTCTCCATTCATTTCTGTGGGGAAAACTCTAATCCTAGCATGTCAACCTTAACCCCTACCCAGTCCTAACCTTAACCATAAGTAACCAAACAGAATACAAGCATTGGCATTTTTAGTATTTTGATAGCATTCACAGAACTTTGTGGGGACCTGAAAAATGTAATCCTAATCCACACCTACACACACACACACAGTAGTTTCAAGCCCAATGAAAGGTCATTATCAACCACTTAACCTCAACTACCGCATTAAAATATCCAACTGGATACATGGCTGATATGTACTAGGTTTGCTGTGTAGGATGAATATTTTTTCCTGAGATCCCTGTAAGTCTGAGGTTTTGCAAATTCTTCCTGTTACAGAATCATCAAAGCATAGAATATATAATACCAAAGTTATCATCTTACATATCCATCCATCACTCTTCCATACTGCTTTAACTAGTACAAGGTCATAGTGTACTACATATCATTTTTCAGAATGTGTAGGTTTTTGTTTAAGACTTCAAAGGACATTCTATTTTCCAGAATGGCCCATATACACTCATCTAAAGGATTATTAGGAACACCTGTTCAATTTCTCATTAATG